TACTATTAACAATTTGTAAGGGTTTCATTAAGAAATTTCTGTTAGCTTTGAAGAACCAAATTTTTATAACTTAAAATTTGCTCTCCTGAACAATTAGCAAATTGTGACATAGTATCCTTTACCTCCGGGGTACAGATATAATCCACTATGCTCACAACACACCTATGTTGAGTATTCTGTGAAGATATGTCAGTCTCTCCCTTCCACCTATTTCCTTTCATTTGAAGACTGTTTTTCATTTTTAAAAGAATCTTTTTAATCACTTTCTTCTTAATTTGTTACAAACTTCGCTATCTAGTTTTGAACTGGAACATTTGGTGTTAATTTCATAAAGAAACGTGAATAATTAACAATATATTACTGTTTAACAAATATTAGACCCCAATTTATAAATAAAAGTGTATTATTTCATTTCTATTACTTTCTATTTCTATTTTTTCCCATATGGGAAACGGAAAACCGTTTCCCATATGGTGCCAACTTATTAGACACCCTGTATATACATATAATAAAGTATTCTATAGTTTATAAGGAATAGATAAAATTTAATACATGGACCTAGTCTTACGACAAATAAGAAAATTGAAACCAGTTCTGAAAACTAAGTTCAACAAAATCGTTAAAATAATAATTGTGAAATTCTTCATTTTCTGTTTTCTCCGTAAATCCAAAGAAACTTTCCAATGTTGCAATTAACAGAATTTATGACAAGAGGAAAAAATATAAAAAGTGTTAAGTACTTTCTTGATTTATTTAATTAGCTACGACTTTAATGCTGAATGTTGTTAACATGTGTAGTTAATTTATTCATAGCATTTTAATAATTAATATTTTAAACAATTTTATAGTATTATAATATTAAAAATATATGTCTGATAGAAAAGCTTAATTTTTGTTAAAATATGGAGACTTGGTAAAAAGTACTTGGAACCGATATTTGTATAACTGAATAAGTAACTCTTAGATGATAGAAGTCAAATATTAAAATAGTTAGTGTATATTGTAATTTTATTATTATATGTCACTTTTTGACATATTAATTATATTATTTCTACTATGCGCGCTAGAGATGGACGATCTCTTACTGTAACTCTAAAGCAACAAGGACTACCTGGATATGCTCCGTACCTGAGAAAGTACCAGGTTCTAACCTAACCTAAACTAATCTATTAGGCTTAAACAAGGAAAGAGAGAGAACAGGTAACGCCTGTTTATTTAATTTACCTTTGGAAAGTGAGTCCAGTTTCGATGTGACTGCCTGTGATTGTTTTGGTGCCTGTACGTTGCCCATTACTACATCTCCAGTGTTACCAGGTCTATTTAGTTTTTAGTAGATCTACTAATTTTAACTTCAATTTACTGATTTACTGAAACACTATATCGATCTACTAAGAAATAAAATATGACCTGGCAACCCTTCTGGCGCCGGTTTAGGCATCAGTCAATTCGCTACGATTACGCGTCCCCTTATCAAAAATCCCCCCTTAAATCAAAATTAACTCCACAACAGACAGACAAAAATTTAAACCATCTAAAAAAGAGATAGATACAGAACTTCTTAAAGAACGCAAAGAACAATACATAAACCAACTAAAAAGAAGTGACATATCACAGCTAAAGGGTCTGCAACTAGACGAATTAAACGATAAAATAACAACAGAACTACTAGAAGCAGGCCTGAAGATTGCTAATAAACAAAAGCGAAAACAACAAAAAATTAGCGCTAAATCACAAGATATGCTAAAAAAACGACGACAACTACTGAACGATAACAAAAGAAATACAGTGGAGTATACCGAACTGAATAAAACCATAAGAAAAGAGATAAAGGAAGATTTAAAAAAATACCAAGAAGACCGCATTAAGAAAATCATGGAGAAGAACAAAAGTTTAAAAACAATGAAGACAAATATAGGAAAAAGAAATCTAATCATGCTTAAAGCTGGGAACAATGAAGAAAGAGATCTAGGAGAAATAGTAAAAATCACAGAAAGATATTACACAGACCTATACAGTTCTAAAAATGACCCACCACAATCATCTAAACAGAATCTCACGAGGAAAATACAAAATGTTGGCTCAGAGGTATTACCAGAAATAACTGAAGATGAAATCGAAAAATCCATAAACGACATGAAAAGAAATAAAGCGGCCGGTGAGGACAAAATACTGGCGGAACTGCTAAAAGAAGGAGGAGACACGATAAAAAAAAATGCTAAAAATACTGTTCAACAAATGTCTGTTTGAAGGTAAAATACCCAAACAATGGAGAAATGCCAACACAATCTTAATACGTAAGAAAGGAGACCGAACAGACCTAAACAACTACCGTCCTATTTTCCTTTTCTCACAACTATATAAAACCTTCACAAGAATAATAAACAACCGACTAACCTATAAACTTGATAACTACCAACCAGTGGAACAGGCCGGATTCAGAAAAGGATACAGCACAATCGACCATCTACATACGCTTAAAATCTTAATTGAGAAAACCAATGAATACAACCTTCCGCTGTACTTAGCATTCGTAGATTATGAAAAGGCTTTCGACAGCATTGAACACTGGGCGGTTGAAGAAGCTCTGGTCAATAGTAGAATAGATTCAAGATACCGACGATTGATACATGATATTTACCAAAACGCAACTATGACCGTAATTCTGGACGACAAATTAATAACGAATAATATAAAAGTTAAACGAGGAGTCCGACAAGGCGATATAATTTCACCTAAACTGTTTACCTTGACTCTCGAAGACATAATAAAATCAACAGATTGGGAAAACAGGGGAATATGTATTAACGGAAAATACCTAAATCACCTTAGATATGCGGATGACATACTCCTGATCTCCTCGGAACGACAAGAACTGGAATTAATGCTGAATGAACTTCATGAAAAATCACTGCAAAAAGGCCTAAAAATTAACTTGAACAAAACAAAAGTAATGACAAACACGGAAGACCAAGAGGCAATAAAAATAAAAATAGAAAAAATAGAACAGGTAAATGAGTATATCTATCTAGGACAAGCAATCAGAGCTAATAGAGAAAATCAAACAGCCGAAATATCGAGACGAGTAAGAATGGGATGGGCAGCGTTCGGCAAACTTTCTTACGTTCTAAAAAATCAAACAATCCCCTCTATACTTACGAAGCAAGGTATATAACTCCTGTATCATACCGGTGCTCACCTACGGAGCACAGACATGGACATTTACACAGGCCAATTTGGATAGGATAAGGAAGGCACAAAGAGCGATGGAGAGACAAATGTTGGGTGTATCACTTAGAGATAGAAAACGTAACCAGTGGATCAGAACCAGAACAAAGACAGTAGACGCGATAGAACAAGCAGCAAAACTGAAGTGGAAATGGGCTGGACACAATGAACGTCTCCAAGAGGGACGATGGAACAATGCCATCGGAAAGTGGCGTCCATACAATGCAAAGAGATCAAGAGGCAGACCACAGATGAGGTGGAAAGATGACATCAGGAAACAAGGAGGTCCCACATGGCAGAGAACAGCTCAAGATAGGCAAAGATGGAGAGAACTGGGGGAGACCTATTATCCAACAATGGAAGGATAGAGAATAGGTAAACAAAAAAAAACCGCGTCTCCTCCTAAAAATATGAGATTGTACTCTACTACACTTTACAATTACGTTACAGATAATATATATGAGGAATATTGATCTAGAAAGTGCCTTTGGGCTAGCAAAGGCTTCTTCTTCTTCTTCAGCCTATTTTGGCCCACTGCAGGACATAGGCATCTTCTATTTCTTTGTAAAGGCCCTGGTCTCCAGTCTATATATAGTTACAGTCAAGATACAAGTCAAGAAACGTCAAGATACGTTTTAGACACATTGGCATATCTTTATTCTTCAAGATTAAGCTTAACTTGCCGAAAGTTACCCAAGACAATTGTATGCTTCTTTTTATTTCGGCTATTTGGTTTTCTTTGCCGATTTTAATGGTATATCCAACACAGGCTTAGCATGTAAAATATGGCGATCTGACTGGACATCTAGGGATTTTAAGAGTTGGAAGAACGTAATCTATGAAGATATTCACAGACATTATTTCTACAAAACAATATTTTTAACTCTCTTGGTGTCATCATCAACGATTGTGAATTAACATAAAACTAAATCACTCAAATTACCATAGTTTATTGATAATCCTCGGAAATACTCATAAAATATTTAGATTTACTGTAGACCGTAGACTGTAGACTAGACCGTAATGAACGCACAGATAGTCAAGCGGCTATGGCGAGCCTTAGAAGCCCTAAGCTCTAGGCTATTGTGGCAATGCCGAGAAGAACTCGATAGGCGAGTAAAAAAAACATATGGTATTAATCCACTAGACTACTAGCAAGTACAAGGTTCCAGATTTCTGGAATGAGTATCATGAATACATTGAAGATGTACAATAAACTTATTAGTTTAAATACGACTGGTTTATAACAGAGGGTTTCCAAAAAAAGGACCGTATTAAGAGAGTAATATTATAAAAAAGTTTTATTCTGGCAAACCAATGTATGTCACTTTATTATTATCAACGGCAAGTTTGCATCATGTCTACGCTGTAGGAAATTTTGTTTTATTTTTAATAGACAAAATCTGTTCCTAAAATCAACAGTTCTTTTTCAAATCAAGAAGGTGCTAGTATTTATTTTAATGAAACAGAACCTTCTGCAGTAACCCAGGCCAAAATGCAATATCATGGAAGAAAATGGGAAAGGTAACTGCGACAGCCCGAAAATTTTCAAGTCAAATACAAACAAAATGGTAATTACAACATTCTGCTCGCTAAGAAACAATAATCTTTGTATATAATTGCGTAAGAGAAAAATTACTATCGTTGTGCAAATCTAAATAATAGAATAAACAATGCATTACCTTAGCAGAAAATACAGTACCGTTTATGGCAATATATTTCACACAATGCAGGCAGTACCTTAAGGGATTTTAATATTTTTATTTTATTTTCAGAGACTTCTCCAAACTGAATAAGGATGATGTATATCATAACAATGAACTGGCATTCAGAGTGGCCGAACAGTATTTGGGCATTCCAGCGCTGTTAGAGCCAGAAGATATGGTAGAATATGCTGTACCTGACCGTCTGTCTATACTCACATATTTGTCACAATTTTACCAAGCATTCGCAGTAAGAGAAGGTAAGATGTGCTTTTTAAATATATGTTACTTGCTAACTTTCAATCTGATATATATTAGTACCATTGTACCAATTATACCGACTAAAATAGTAGTTATCAAACGTAGTTACTTAAGTAACGTTTTCTGTTAGAATGTTGTATTTCATCCATTCCTTACTATAAATATTCGTCTTGAGATTACTTTCAATAATAAAATCAAGTTCATTGAAGATGTTTGTCTTGAAATGTTTAAGCTGTAATGTAGATATTACTAAAATATCATTAGATAAATAGGAGAAATTTGTTTTTAAATTTTTCTATTCTGATAAAAGTTTACGTCCAGACTTCTTTTGAGTCCCTAGTAAAATAGATTTTATATTTAAAGCCGATTAGCCACTAACTAACCAGACGAATGGCAGCTCGCGCGCAATCCATTACCGTTCGAATATCGAGGGTTTAGTTTAGTTTAGTATGCTGTACGCCATCAGTGTTGGCGGTAAAAATTTCAGTAAGTTTGGTCATTTTTACAATGATAAAAATTCAAACACAACTTCGTTAGACAACTCCATAGTAAAATTGGCACTACGCTGACCGTACCAGACTCTAGCCGCGTCAAAAGGGTATGTATGTATGAAGTAAGTGCTATGCATCAGCTTCCAACCTTACTGAGCACCGTGTTGGTTTACCGCCAAACGACAGCACGCGTCCACTGTAAATAGACAGTTTTGTTCTAACCAAGGGATCGTAAACCACAACTATTGAGAGGAAAAAAAGGTATTCCACATTGCGTTAATTTCCTTATTTTGATTTTATCTTTTTATATTATGTATTTTCTATTTCTCTTCGCCGATCAAGAAGCGAAGAGGCGTTCTGTCAGATTCCAACTTCTGTAATGTTTCTAAACCAAATTATTACCGTTTTAAGATAAATAATAATCTGAGTTCCTAGCTCAAACAACAAGTTTGGTCAAAAGTAATGTCGAAAGCTATGAAAAAATTTGCCTTAAATATCTGAAACTTGGATTTACTTGGAAACATGATACGGTTAATCCATGTCCTCAATGAGTGATTTGATATAAAATTTTAGCGCACGAAAGTATATGTCCAAGTAAGCTAGCCTTTCATATATAAACCGAACTTCCTCATTTCATAAATGAACCTGGATTTCTATTAAGAAAATTGCCGGAAATCGGCTTCATAATGTGTCAGGCCTATCTATCAAACATGCCATTACTGACAGTGAAACACATTCTTACCGAATGTCATTAATTAAGAGAAGTAAGACGACAGCTAAATCTCAAATCGCAGCAAAGTGACATTCTAAGTTCTAAGTTTTTGATCCCAACAAGTTCTTCAGTCTAAAATATTTTTATATGACATAACTTATTAATGCTATTATACCTCGTGTAATATTTTTTGTAATCGTCTTCGTGCGAGTGGCCGTAGTTACTGAGCACGTAAATGTAAATAAAAAAATATTATCTCGTTATCAGTTTCAGTTAGTGTCATTTTTATTAACTTTATTTGTTTGTGTGTATCTCAATGATTTGTACATCTCCATTCTATCTATTCTATCATAATGCGTGTTTGAAATATACAATTAATGCATGACGCGCAAGTTTATATTCATAGCGCGTGATGTGTATTTCCTTCAATGAAAATATTTGATCCGTTATTACTATCCTATTACTTCTGTAGCCTGCTTGATATTCCCCTAGCATCTGAGTGGCGTACCTGTTCACTGTGTGGCGTAGAAATCTTCGGTAGTATTTTATATAACAGGTGATTAATAGAGCTTTAGTGTAATTTTCTCAGCAAAGCTTATTTTGTTTTTTGTGTATTGGATATATGAGAGCTCTGGACCTGCCATTCGACATTTTTTCTCGTTCCCATAATTCATAAAGATGCTGTGTTTTATTTTGTATCGGTTCACTTCCTGCCTTTAGGATCTTCGCAACTAGGTGTTCCAATTTCACCAGATTATTTGTTATGTTGTGAGTTTTTTTATAACTTGGAAACTGTTTCTTCCGTTAGCGATGCTATTATTCTGCTTACTTCTACATTGTTTATTTCTAACTCGTCTGTTCTCTCTTACCGCTGTTCTTGTCCGTCCAATAGTCGTTGGAAGTAGTCCCACAGCCATTTCATAATATAACCTGACTCACATATCATTGTTCTATGTTTGTTCTATGTGTTCTCTTTTTGTCTACAACATAGTTATTCCTGATATCCTTTTGTTTCTTGCTAGACTTGTCTTCTTTTCTCGAAATTTTTCTTTCTATTTAGTATTCGTCAGAGATTTGACCTCTAAAAATCATACGAACAAGCTGAATTTTGCTGAGAACATCAATTTTCTGACCCTAAAAAAGATGCCATCAAGTTTACCACTTTTACTCCTCAGGTTCTTCTTAAAATGCCCCCTCGTTGAGGGGAAAATGGAAAGAATCAATTTATAAAAAAATTGTACGCCATAGAACAAAATGTTTTAAATCAAAAATGAAGCTAAGATAATTTTGAACAAAAATGTTTATTAGAACTTATTAATTATTAGAATGAGCCATTGTCAGAAACAACGCTTGAGGCGACCGGTGATTTTGAATGTCAGCTACGCGCACAAAATCAATTTTAAATAAAATTCATGTCAACTCGATGGTAAAAATTCGATATCTTTTGATCAGAGTGCCCTATCGACAAAAATCAACATGCGTTTTAGATGTGAAATTTTTGTCATTTTTTATGATTGTCTTGAGATCAATAAAATTCATCACTTTCATTGACGTATTCTTTCACGATCGTAATTCAATTTCCATTGTTAGATGTTTCCATCTTTCAAACTTGAAATTTCGATTTTGAACAAATATGAGCATTTGAAATTTATGTTTGAAAAAAGTAAAATTTAAACTTTTTAAGTACAAACGATCACACGCCAAGGGAAAGGTTTCCACGAAGGCGGTATTGGGTGAAATTTGTAGCAAAAGTTGTGTAGTTTCGAAAAACGTACTTGTTCGATCAAAAAGGAGCAGTTTTAACGTTTTATATCGTTTGTAATATAAAAGCTTAAATTCAGCGTTTTTTGGGCATATGTCAAATACCGCACATTGATTTCCAAAACTCAAAACCAAAATTTCATGGTGTAGGTTTTGAATATTAGGATCAAATAATGAAAATTCCATAGTGACTGTTTACTGAAATCGATAAATTTTATTGATCTCAGGAGAACCATAAAAATGGCAAAAATCGCGCAACCTTTATTAATTATTTAACATCTTTATAATATATTACCTTATTTGCAGCCAAACACAAAAATTCCATATGAAAGCTGCACTCTTCACCTTTAAAGCGCATTTTGATTTTTGTTGATAGTACACTTTGATCAAAAGATATCGAAGTTTTGTCATAGAGTTGATCCAAATTTTATTTAAAATTGATTTCGCGCTCGTAAGTGTCATTCAAAATTATCGGTCGCTTTAAGGGTTGTTTTCAGAGAACGGTTTATTCTATACAAAAAGTGATAATAAACATTTTTGTTTAAAATTATCTGACCTTCATTTTTTATTTGAAACATTTTGTTCTATGGCGTACAAATTTTTGATAAATTTATTCTTTTCGTTTTCTCCACATTTTACGGAGAACTTGTGTAGTAAAAGTGGTAAACTTTTTTGAATCTTTTTTGAGGTCGCAAAATTGACATTATCAGCAAAATTCAGATTGTTTGTATGATTTTTAGAGGTTCAGTGGTATTTTCGTCTTTGACGGCTGGAGTAATTTCTTGTATTTTGACTTAATTTTGTTTTCGTTGTTGATATGGTTTTAAGTTATTTTCTCAGTTCTTTATATTGGTTTTGGTTACTGCTACTTTTATTTGCTAATCCTTGCTATCGTATTTTCTCTTGTGTTGTAGGTAAACTTGCACATTCTTCGTCAAACCAGTCCTTGTTGACTTTTTCCTTTTTTACTTCGAATTGTGCTTTCTGATTTGCTCTGTTAAACGCTTCTTTTGTTTGTTGTTATATTGTGTCTCATTAGTAACTTTTTGTGTTTCGACCTCTTATTTATTTCTCATAAGCGTTTTTACTTTCTTCGTTACTAAAAACTGTTATATCAGTTTGTTTCCTTTTATTATTATTATTATCTTTTTTTTTCTAATATTATTGTTTTGACTTTTAATAAAAAATTCTCAAAATCACAGTATGCTCATCTCATGCTTTTGATGTTGGTTATACATTTGACATATTTTTTTTCTATGAGCACGTGGTCTATTTTGTTGAGTGTTTTCACATGTCAAACAATTAAAAGTTAGCAACATTAATGTCGATTTTAATGTTGTCAAAACTAGGAAACAAATACACCTTCCTCACTAAAATAATACTTTTTATAATTTTTAAATAAAATAATAACTTTTTGCTGTAAAATTGACATGTTATATATAATTTTTATTACAAAAGTATGAAATCAACGTAATGGATTTTGTCAAGCACCTTTTCCATATCTATATTTAAATAAAGGCATATATTGTATATGTTACCAGTTATCTCTTAATTGACCTTCAATAAAAGGTACAATACGTAAATTTTAAAAAATAACGAAAGCTTATTAACACTGACACAAATTCAACAAATGATTTATTTCGATCGTGCTCTGCCTCGTGGCAATTAATAATCATAATAATAATATAGTGAGCAGACTGAGAAAAAGAGATAGGAAGATAGGATCTTTGTTAAAAATTAACGCCCCTTTAAGACGCAATTTTAATTAACACTTTGACCGAAGTTCGTATAATCACGACTCGAATTGTTAGCGAGGCCCACATTCGTTTATGACATAATTCATGTGTGTAATGGGTCGGGCCAAGTAAAACAACTTAAAATATAAAATATTTACCTGTTTGACATTTCTTAATGGGACACCGAAAACAAAAAAATGTTTATAGCGAAACTGATGTGTATTAAATTATACAAAGTCAGTCGGAACAACGGATGAACCAAAGTGGTGTTTTTTTTTAAGTGAAACACCCTATATATC